TTGGCCTTAGTGGGTCCTGGAAACGACAGGGCCGTTTTGTTGCCAGTTCCGTTTTGCCGTTTGTTTGCCGGTTCCGACATTTTTTTGTTTACCGGTTCCGTCGCCGATGTTTTACCGGTTCCGGCTCTGGTTCCAATCCTGGAGCCGTTATTGTTGGCGTTTCCGGTTTTTTTTGTGCCGTTTCCATGTGCAAGAGAATTTGTGTCGGAAACGGTGAAAAATTGCCCTGCCGTTTCCGGGGCCCACTAAGCTTTTGGCCCGTCTGACGCAATCGCAGGCCGTCTTGGAGGCCTCTTTGGGTCGCCTTGGTGCCCTCTTGGGGCGCTTTAGGGCCGTGTTGGGACCCTCTCAAAAGCCTTTTGGAGCCTCCTGGGGGCCTCTGAGGCTGAACTGGGGCCCACCATGGGGCCTTTTGGGCTGTTGGGAGCTATCTAGGAATGCCTCTTTGGTAGCCTTGGGCGGTCGCAAACCCAAACAGGCGAGTACTTAAACATATTTCAACACACATGAAGAACAACAATGGCGTTTGCCTTCTCGGGCTCTCGTGAAAGGCCTCTTGGAACACACTTGGGCCGTTTTGGAGGCCTCTTTGGGCTGTTTTGAAGCCTTGGAACCATCCCGATTGGTCGTGAACCATATTGGGCCTTGGAAGTCCTCTTGGAGGCCATCCTGGCCGTCTGTAGACCGAACTGACCGCCAGAGAGCAATGCCAGAGGGGGCGGTCTCAGGACCACGCGCGCGGGGAGGGAGGCGGGGTGGGAGGGGTCGACCCCATAACATCTAATGAAATCCACCTCCCGTGCAACAGCAACATATTTTAACACGCCCGTTCCGTGCAGGCACCGTGGCGTATTCTTGACGCTTCGCGTGTCCCCACCAGTTGCGGCAATCTCGCGCCAATTATCTACGTACCGCGCCCCGGACGTTGTGCCCGCTCCATGTCCCTCGCCTTGGAGCCGCGAACCAAAAAAGTGTCCCCACCAGTCCCTTCGAGGGCATTGAATTCACTGGTGTGCTCGGGCTCGTGATCTTCGGCTTCTGAGCTGAGCCGCGGTGAATCGCCTGTCCTTTCTCGCTGCCCGTTCGCCGCTCGCGCTCGGTTTCGGCCCCGCCTTTTTCCGCGCTTGCCTGCTGTAGTCTTGGCATCCGCCATGCCCCGCGCAGGCCTTGTTTTCGTTCGACCTCTTGACGCCGCGCGGCTGTCCGCTAGCGGCTGCGCACAAAAAAGTGCCCCAACCAGCCCAACCAGAAACGATGCCCATGAGAGCTGACGGGGGGGGGAAGACACGCGTAGTCAAACAGCGAGGGAGGCCGGCCTGGACGGCGTGTTGGGCCATCTCCGGGCCCGCAGGGGGGGGGCGAAGAGGAGGAGGAGGAGGAGGAGGAGGAGGGAGAGGAGGAGGATGAGGAGGAAGAAAAGGAGGAAGAAAAGGAGGAGGAGGAAGAACAGGGAGGGAGGAGGCAAGAGGCAAGAAGAGCAAGACGAGGAGAAGGAAGACGAGGATGAGCAGGATGAGGACTAAGAGAGTGAGGGGGAGGAGGAGAAGGAGGAGGAGGAGGAGGAAGAGGAGGAGGAGGAGAAGGAGGAGGAGGAGGACGAGGAAGAGGACAAGGAGGAGGAGGAGGAAGAGGAGGAGGAAGAGGAGGAGGAGGAGGAAAAAGAGGACACATAAGAATACTACTAAGAATAATAATATACACCCAGGAAAATAATACTACTAAACAGAAGAAGAGGAGGATGAGGAGGAGGAGGAGGAGGAGGAGGAGGAGGAAAAGGAGGAGTAACGGGAGGAGGAGGAGGAGGAGGAGGAGGACACGGAGGAGGAGGACGAGGACGAGGACGAGGACGAGGGGGAGGATGACAACGAGAAGAAGGAGGACGCGGAGGGAGAGGAGGAGGAAGACGAGGACGAGGACGAGGACGAGGACGAGGAGGACGAGGAAGAGGAGGAGGAGGAGGAGGAGGAGGAGGATGAGGAGAAGGAGGAAAATGACGAGGACGATGACGAAGGATGTGGACGTGAACGAAAGGACGGGAGGAGGAGGAGGAGAGAAGGGAGAGGAAGAGGAGGAGGAGGAGGAAGGGAGGAGGAGGACGAGGAGGACGACGAGGACGAGGAGGACGAGGAGGAGGAGGGAGGACGAGGACGAGGAGGACGAGGACGAGGGGGAGGATGATAACGAGACGAAGGAGGACGAGGAGGACGAGGAGGACGAGGACGAGGACGAGGACGAGGACGAGGAGGACGAGGGGGAGGATGATAACGAGAAGAAGATGGACAGGACGAGGAGGAGGAGGACGAGGACGAGGAGGACGAGGAGGACGAACGGGGACGAGGAGGACGAGGAGGACGAGGAGGACGAACGGGGAGGAAGAGGAGGAGGAGGAGGAGGACGAGGACGAGGACGAGGAGGACGAGGAGGAGGAGGAGGAGGAGGAGGAGGAGGAGGAGGAAAATGACGAGGACGAGGACGAAGGATGTGGACGTGATCGAAAGGACGAGGATGAGGAGGAGGAGGAGGAGGAGGAGAGAGGCGGAGGAGGAGGAGGAGGAGGAATGGGAGGAGGAGGAGGAGGAGGAGGACGAGGACGAGGACGAGGACGAGGAGGAAGAGGAGGACGAGGAGGACGAGGTGGACGAGGACGAGGACGAGGAGGACGAGGGGGAGGAGGAGGAGGATTCCCTCATGGACGAGAATGCCGTCGAGGCCACGGCGGGAGGGCGATCTGCAGAGTAGGAGCGTGGGTGAATAGGAGGAGGAGGAGGAGGAGGAGGAGGAGGAGGAGGAAGAGAAGGAAAATGACGATGACGAGGACGAAGGATGTGGACGTGAACGAAAGGACGAGGAGGAGGAGGAGGGGGAGGAGGAGGAGGAGGAGGAGGATAATTAAGGACGAGGAGGTCGACGAGGATGAGGATGAGGAGGGGGGCGAGGACGAGGAGGACGAGGAGCAGGACGAGGACGAGATGGCGTCTTGCGTGCGTCGGGTGAGCTTCTTGGGCCTCTTGGGGGGCCGCTCAGGGGGCCTCTTCGGTGCCTCCCGGGTGCCTCTTGGAGGCCTCTTGAGGCATCTTGGGGCGCTCCTTGGGCCCTCTTGGGAACCTTTCGGGAGCCCTGGAGGGCCTCTTGGGGTCATCGTAGGACCAGTCCGTCAAAAGAAGGGGGGTCCTCGATGTCTGCCCCCCCTCGGGGGCCAAGGTCCTCGTGAGGGGTGTCACAGGCCAAACAAAGGAGCCTCCGACACTTCGCGACCCCTCACCCAAAAAAATAGCGGGGCGAAGGGCAATCATAGAAAGTTGTGGGTGCCGCAATTGTGTATATCTTCTTCGGTGATGCTCCCTATGGGGCCACGAAGCGCTGCACTGGGTGGGGGAACGCATGCGCGCGGTAGCGCAAGGCTGTACTGGGTGAGCGGAAATACCAAATTGGGCGTGTGGGGCGCATGCGGGCGGTAGCACTGGGGCCGTCGGTGGAGCTCCCTATGGGGCCACGAAACGTTGTGCTGGGTCTGCGAAAATGCCAAATTGGGTGTGTGGGACGCACGCGGGCGGTCCCACTGGGGGCGTCGGTGGAGCTTCCTATGGGGCCACGAACGCTGTACTTGGTGAGTGAAAATGCCAAATTAGGCTTCCGGGGCGCACGCGGACGGTCCCACTGGGGGCGTCGGTGGAGCTCTGTATGGGGCCACGAAACGCTGTACTGGGTGAGCGAAAATGCCAAATTGGGCTTCCGGGGCGCATGCGGCGGTCCCACCGGGGGTTTCTGTGGAGCTCCGCCGCGAAACGCTGTACTGGGTGGGTGAAAATGCCAAATTTGGTTCCCGGGACGCATGCGGACGGTCCCACTGGGGCCTTCGGTGAGCCGCCCTTATGGGGCCACGAAACGTGTGAGGGGTGTGCCGAGATGCGGGGTGGAACCACATGCGAACGCAGCCATTGGGGCCTTCGATAGAGCTCCGTGTGGGGCCACGAAGCGTGTGAAGGGTGTGCCGAAATGGGGGCGGAACCGCATGCGAACGCAGCGCGGACGCAACCATTCGGATTTTCGGTGGAGCTCCCTATGGGGCCACGAAACGTGTGAGGGGTGTGCCGACGTTGGGGGTGGAACCGCATGCGAACCGACCGCGAACACAGCCACGGGGACCTTCGGTGGAGCTCTTTATGGGGCCACGAAGCGTGTCAGGGGTGTACAGAGAGGGGGGGGAGGAGGGGGAGGAGGAGTGAGGAGTGAGCGCGGGGCGCTGTCTTTTCAAAACGAGGACCCAACACCACAGGATGGCTGGGGAACCCCCCCAAAAAAAAGGGAGGGGGAGGTTTCCCCTCCCCGATCGGAAGAGGGGTTGTGGAAGAGGAAAGAGACCCTCCTTAGACCACCTGTCGCCCAGAGGGCTGGTGGGATGAAATTTCACGCCGTTCTTTCATTGCCATCCGCGCGGTATAAAATTACGCACTTCAGAGTGTCCCCCTCCATCTCTATCCTCCACCGCATTTCAGACAATGCGTGTAGTTCCGAACGTTGTGTGTTGCATGGTGCTTTCTCGGGCGCCTTGTTTTGTCAACGTCCGCCCACCTAGGCTCATGCAGTGACCCCCCTTCTTTTCGGAACACTTCTCACGGAACACTGTTCACGCACATGCAAAGGTTTTAACAAGTTGTAGGTTTGATTGTTATCGATGGTTTTGTGATCACATGTTGGTAGTGTTCTCTCGCTCTCTCTCTTTCTTGCCTTCCCTCTGTCGCAATGGATGATGTTTCTGATGGTGTCTCAAATGTAGCGCATGTTGCCACCAGCTCCCCCCCCGGTGGAGCCATCTGCTGGCTAGATTGTAACAGCTTTGGGGCCAACATGGGGCCTCCCAGGGGAATCTTGTGGCCGCTGGGGCCATCTTCGGTCCACCCTTGTCCCCCTCCTCCCGACGCAGCTGCTGATGTCTCTCATGGTATCCCTAGTCCGTGTCGACTTCTCTCCTTGCGCATGTATCTGCCATTGCTCACGAGGATCCCCTCATGGACGAGAATGCCGTCGAGGCCACGGCGGGAGGGCGATCTGCAGAGTAGGAGCGTGGGTGAATAGGAGGAGGAGGAAGAGGAGGAGGAGGAGGAGGAAGAGGAGGAGGACGAGGAGGAGGAGCAGGAGCAGGAGCAGGAGGAGGAGGAAGACATACGCACACACCCTTCCCTCCCACAGCATACTACGCACTCGTGGCACACCTTGTTATCGAGATTTGAGCGCGCCCCCAGCTCGCAATCGAGAGGCGCTCGCCCGCGGCCCCGCTTCCGACAATTTGGCGAAAAGACATTTTCGCGTGCCGCGCAGTGGCGGGAGCGACACCACGTCCGATGGGCGCGGCGAAAACGAAGCGTGCGCCGCGCTGACACAACAGTGCCACTTTCACTCATAAGCTGCGCGGCGCTTGGGCGAGGTCGGCATTTCGGGGACGGAGCTGGAGCGGCCCAGACTGCTGCCGCCGCGGGCAACGGGCGAGGGGCCGAACGCCGAGGAGCCCGATGGCGACGGAGTAGACAACGACGGCCGCCGGCCAGCGAATGTCTATGTCCCGCGGTGGCGCGGCGGGCTTTCGGCGGCCTTGGACTTCGCGGTGACGTCCGGCCTGCGCGCGGACCTCATCGCGCACTCCGCCGCCGACCCGGCCGCCGCCCACGACAGGCACGAGGAGTACAAGCGGCAGCACCAGGGCACGGCGCAGGCTTGCCGCGACGCGGACCTCGCCTTCATCCCAACGGTGGCGGAGGCGCACGGCGGGAGCTGGGGCGGCGAGGCGCGACGCGCATTCTCCGTGCTGGCTAAACGCGCGGCCGACGCGCGCGGCGAGGAGGCCGCCAGCTCGGCGGACAGGATGGCCCAGCGACTCTCCATTTCCCTGCACAGGGAGAACGTGCGGGCCATTCTGCACCGCCTGCAGCGCCCGCGGCCCGGGGCGACCCCGGCCCGCCTGGCGGCGGCGGCGGCAGTGGAGGCGGCGGCGGCGGCGGCCGTCGCGCGAGGCGCAAGGACAGGCGGCGGGCGCCGAGGGCGACGAGGCGAGGGAGGGCGACCAGGAGGAGCAGGGGGAAGAGGGGGAGGAGGAGCAGCAGGAGAACAACGACGACGCCATGAAGAGGCAGCAGAGAGGCGCTGAGGAAGCCCCGCAGAGGGCGGCGACGAGGAGGAGGAGGAGGAGGAGGAGGAGGAGGAGGGAAGGAGGAGGAGGAGGAGGAGGAGGAGTGGAAGGAGGAGGAGAGGAGGAGGAGGAGGAGGAGGAGGAGGAGGAGGAGGAGGAGGAAGAGGAGGAGGAGGGAGAGGATGAGGAGGAGGAGGAGGAGGAGGAGGAGGAGGAGGAGGAGGAGGAGGAGGAGGAGGAGGAGGAGGAGGAGGAGGAGGACGAGGGGGAGGAGGAGGACGACGACGAGGACGAGGACGACCCGGAAGCCGGCGGCAGCAGGGCAGGAAGAGACCGCAGAAGATTTTTGCCCGTCCAGCCAGGAAGGAGGAGCCCGCCGAGGAGGAGGAGGCGCCGCGCCAGAAGCCGCCGCAGAGGGACAAGGCCCCGGAGCCGGCCGCAGAGGAGGAGGAGGACGACGGTTTCGTTGGCCGCAGAGCCGCCGGCCGCAGAAGAAGAAACCCGCCGCGGCCGGCGACGCCAGCGAGCGGCGGCCCACGCCGCCGTGGAGGAGGAAACCCAAGTGAGGCGCCCCCGCTGCTGGCCGCGGTCGAAGACGCATCTAGGGCCATCTCGTAATTATTTAATCCACGGGCCCCAGGACCGTCCACAAAGCGACGCGGGATAAGAAGCTGGACTGGGGGAGAGGCCCCAGGATCCGCTTCCCTCAGCACCCGCGTCCCTCATGCCAACACGTACGTACGTACAGTCTGGTCTTGCCTGGCTACCCGATGCAGCCGGTCCTACGCTGCAATATGGTGGTCGTCTGCGTGTGGCAAGCGCCCCTTGCAGTGTGGCAGGCTGGCCGGCGTTGGTTCGCGGGTCGGTAGCCGCGAGGATCCTCAACGCGAAGCATTGCAAAACAATGCCAAGCAACGCAAAGCAGCGCGAAGCAATGCCAAACACTGCGACGCAGTACGCGCGGGCGGCGGCGACGGGCGGCGACGCGCCGACTGGACCGCCAACCAGGCCCATCGGGCGGTGGCGACGGGCGGCGACAAGCCGGCCCGACCGCCAGCCAAACCCAGTTCATTACAAAACAAGCGAGCAATTGTGAGTGCAAGCGCTGTTTGGGGAGCACGAAGGCGGCGCCGATTCGAGGGCGAGATGTCGGCCTTTCGCGCGGGATGTGCGCCCCGTCCAACTCCCGCCACGCAGTTTGCAACATGGACGACAGACTGTCCATGTTGAAACGAAACATGGTGATTCCCCCTTGTTTCTTGCAGGTATGATGCCCCCTACCGACCCCCGATCCGGTCGGTCGCTATCGTCCAGTTCTGCGGCATAGTACAATAAAGGCAGGAGGAGGAAGTTCAGGAATAGTAGGAGGAGGAGGACGAGGAGGAGGAGGAGGAGGACGGCGAACGGGGAGTTGCAGGAACGGGGGAGGACCGCGAAGAGCAGGAGGTGGGGGAAGTAATTATAAGGACGAGGAGTAAGAGGAAATGGGCGACTAGGTGGACGTGGAGGCAAGGAGGAAACAGAGGGTGAGGGGGAGGGGGGGGAACAAGGGGGAAGGGAACGGGGAGGAGGTGGAGGAGCAGGAGGAGGAGGAGGAGGAATCGTCCCTATCCTGTCGTGGCGTCGATCATCTGCCATGAATCGGAAAAGAGGAAGAGGAGGAGGAGGAGGAGGAGGAGGAGGAATAGAGGAGGAGAAGCAGGAGTCATGCGGCGCCCCTCATTGGAAACATTGAGGAAAAGAGATGCAAGGGGGGGAGGAGGAGTTCTCCTCCTCGTTTTCCTTCTCCTCCGTGGCCTCATATTCCTTCACCGCATCCTTCTTCCCTCCCCCGCCGCCTTGCGCTCTAGATATCCCTTTGCTCCCACATCATCTTTCTCCTCTCCTTCCTTTTTCCCTTCCCCCCTGCAGGGCCCCCACAGACCCCCTTTCCAGAATCTTTTGGAACCAATGTTTCTCCTCATTGATCTCCTCCGGTTCCTCCCCCTCGTCCTCGGGAGGAGGCGAAGAAGACGGAAGAAGGTGAGGAGGACCTGTATAAACCACGGGCGTGTCAACGATTTTGCAACACACCCTCTTTCCAAGCTGCTTTTGTACAGGCCCCGGCCAAGAAATTACACTCACTGCGGGAAGTGTCCCCGTTGGAAATCCACCGTTTGAAAATCCTCATTCGAGTGTGCGCGGCGCTTAGCCGAGAACCACATTTTGAAAATCATCCGCCCTCCATCCATGAGGCTCTTGCAAATGATTACAGCGAGTGCGCGCGGCGCTAAGGCCAGAGCCACATGTTGAAATTCTGGAAACGACCCGTTCTCCGCCTGCGAAACCCCTGCTAACCTTCAAGACGAGTGTGCGCGGCGCTAAAGCGAAAGCCACACTTGGAAAACCACCCACCCCTCCATCCGTGAAGCGGCTGCACATGTTAAACTTCGGATCGTGACTTGTGGGCGAGGAAGCCTCATGCGAAATTCCCAGCCCGCCCTACGGACACGTCCAGGGGTGTGACAGGGAGGAGTTACTTAGAAGGAGAAAGGATTCAGGAGAACGACGACGACGACGAAGACCTGTACCGATTCGACCCCAGCCGCACGCTCGCTGAAGCCCTGAGGCCTTGCTGCGGGAGCTCGAGGACATCCCGAAGCTGTCGAAGAAAAGACGGCAGCAGCAGCCGAGGCCCCCTCCCCTCTCACGGTCCCTTGCGAAGGTCGACGACGACCGACGGCGATGACGATCGGCCATCGACGATCGACGACGGCTGATGCTCAGCGGCCAATTCTGGCCCAGAACTGCTTGCAAGCCAGTCACCCTCGCGACGTTGGCCCCATCAATTTTCCGTGAGGGTTATTCTGAGGAATATTCAAACATTGAAATTGTGTTCCTGCGTTCGCAGGGAAGAGGGAGCAACAACAAAGCATGAGGATGGAGAGAAGGGAGGAGGTGGAGAAGGAGGAGGAGGAGGAGGCGCAGCAGGGCCGCGGGCAGATGAGGATTTGGGGAGGAAGATTAATAGAAGGAGGTAGGGTGGAGGAGGCAGGAGGACGGACATCCGGGGAAGGAGGAGGGAGAAGGGAGAAGGGAGGGGGAGGGAGTTTGGTTATCTTGTTTTGGTTTCCTTTTGCCAAGTCCCCTGAAAATATGTGCTCCCGCCTCTCTAGCGCACTTCTTTATTATCACGCACAGAGCTCCAAACGCTGATGCGTCATATGTTGTTTCCCCCTTCAGAGCGTCTTCTGCCGTTCCCATGGGGCTGGGCGAAGGGGGAGATTGAAAAAGACGTGAGCTGATTCGCGAATCCCCCCTTTGCCATCTCCCCTCTTTCGCCCGCCCCAGCTGACCACCTCACCGATCCTGGCCAGGCCCATCCTGGCCCGGCATCGGTGTGTGTGTGTGTGTGTGTGTACGCCCTCTTGGCCTGGCCAGGATGGGCGAGGCGGTCAGTCAGTGGACCCTTCGCCCGCTGCCCCCTCTCCCTCTTCCCCGCCCCTCTTCCGCGTGTGCTCCCGAGCGCAGGCCAGGGATGCCAGCGCACGGGCGCGAGAGCCCAGCGCGCCCCACCCCGCCCTGGCAGCCCTAGGTCTCCTCTCCCCTGCCGCCTCGTCACTCGCATCCGTGCCCGCGTCCTCGTCCGCGTCCCCCCCGTCGTCGTCGTCATCCTCCGTCGGTGACACGCGGGTTGCCACAGAAACTGGCAGTGCCAGGCCTGCGCCGCTGATGGCTTAGGGCTCTCAGACCTGCTAGTTGCCCAGGGCTGCGGGAGCGTTTAGAGCTGTCTGGAAGCGAAGCCTTCGAAGCACGACGTGCTTTATGCGCATCCTTGGAGTCGAAACCTGTCTAATTATGTCCGTGCCCTGGCTCTGCGGTTTCTTCCCTTTCCGTATTCTCCTTCGGTTATTCTCCTCCACATCCGTTTTGGCTCAAGTTGGCGAAAAGTTGGCGTGTTCACGCGGAGACATCTGGAGGCCGTCTCTCACTCTATTCGGTTTGGTCCGCCCCAGGTTTGACTGTCTTGCAAAAACGGGAGGACGATTTTCCTAGTCTGCTGAAGCTGCCGATGGGATGCAACAGCGAAGCGCGCGACGGTCGAGGAGCCAACAGGCCGAGGTCGGCCAAACGAGAAACGGAGTACACAAACCGCGCCGCCTGCAGTTACCCTGTGACGTTTTCATCAAAGGGCGAGTGATGGCGTTGTGGGCATACCCTCGTGCCAAGAGAGTTCGGGGACCATGGCAAGACGACTGAGCCGCAGTGGGGGCGACCTGGACGCAACAATCACCACGTGCTACATAGCCCCAGGTCCAGAGCGTGGCATTCGATCGCAGCGTCAGCTTGGCTGTGATAGACGGTTCCGGTATGTAACCCGACAGCGACGTCAATATTTTGCTCTAGCAGTTGACCGCCCCGTTGTCGCCCGAGCAGCGGGCCGCGATCCAGGAGCTCGAAGCCCACTTCGCCCCCACGACGCAGAAGCAACATCAGTTCCAGTTCCTTGAGCAGGAGGTGCCAGCGGCGCTCGCGCGGCTGCATAAAGTAGAGGCAGCGCGCGAGGCCGAGGCAGCCAAGTCCGCGCTCACCAAAGCCACGGAGTCTGCGTGAGCCAAGGCGGGCCTGCTGTAGGAGGACACGGACAGCGGCACTTCCACGCCGAAACAGTTCCAGCCAGCGTTCGGTATGGATTTGTCCAAGTTGTGCGACGGGGAGGTGCTAGATCTGTTCGAAAGGGGCATGTTCGAGATGGACCGCTTCGGCGCGGGCGAAAGCGAGCACGAGGCATACCAGAAACTCGAGACTCAGCTGCAGTTCGAGCTCACCGCCGCGGCGCAGAACGTCTTCGGCGCGGGCGCGCAGGCACTGGACGCAAAGCGGCAGGATATGCAGTTCATGCGCGACCACCTCACCGCAAAGAGAAGGACATGGTTGCCGCCGTCATCAGGCAAAGGAGGCACCACTGGCGTCAAAGACGGAGCGGCAGGCCAGTCCCGACCGACAGCGACAAGGGCGACGTCAAGGAGCGCACCGACCTAGGGAGACCGAAGGGCATGGCAGCTGCGCGCCAGCCGCGTCCTCGGGGCCGAACAGAAAGGGAAAGCCTGCTTGACCCGCTGCTGCCAGTGCCGACGGCGCGGAGGCCCCTGCGCGCAGCCCCAGCAGAGAGGACCTCGCAGACGCAGCCGCCGCCGAGAAGCGCATCCAACAACGGGCCACAGGCGAGGCCCTGGCAGCCGCCGCCATGGCTGCCCCAGCCACCACCGACAAGAATGCCCCGTCTGGATGGTAGCACACGCGCTTGGTGGTCAGCCCTGCTCCACGGTCGGCCCCCATGCACAGCGGCACTTGGAGCGCGCCAAGATGGCGCCGAGATTCGACCGGCTACCGCCATCGACGATTGCGTCAATCTAAACAAGGGGGGCAACCGCGAGAACGAGACGAGGCACCTGGAAGGCGACGAATCACATGTCCGACGCCCCCCTTTCCGAGGACCGACCTGGCAGACCCAGTCGAGCCCGCAGAAAGGTTGCTGGGCAGCTCGCGACGCGGGCCAGGAGATGGTCGGCGAACCCCAGGACCCTCGCTCCAGCCCCGCGGACTGGAATGGCGCCCGCGGGAGGATCGACGCGCCCCCTGCGTGCTCAACTTCATCGTCTGCATGGAAGTCCCCGGCGCCCTCTTCGAGTCGGGCGCGGACCTGGGCATGCGACTCCAGCTGGCGCGCGGCGCGTCCGAGCAGCGACCAAGATGCAGGTGCCAAGGCGGGCCAGGAGGTGGATCCAGGACATGGGCCTCGGCGAAGAGACCGACTCGGGGGGCGAGTGGAACTGCGGGCGCGAGCCCAACGTCGCCGAGCTTTCCGCGGGGCGCGAGGTCGGAGCAGCAGGTGGCGGAGATGCGCGCCCTGGGCACGGGGGCGAGGGGGGCTTGCCCGACGGCCTTCCCCATCGATAGATACGGTCACTCAACGGCCAGCAGCGGCGGGCGGCCGCCGTGATCCACTGCCCGAGCAGAGGAGCCGCAAGGAGAGGTGAATCAACGACCATCAACGCCAATGTCCGCCGCCGCTAACGGGCGTGCCGAGACGGAGACTGGACGGACACCGGGCAACTGCCGCCCCCGACGCGCGCTCTGCTCACCGCGTTCACGGCGTCGGCGCGGCTGATGGCACCGACTGCGGGGGTCGCCAGTCGCCAGCGCGACGCAGCGCGAACGCCGCGGGGGGCCGCAATGCTTTTGCGGCACGCACTCGCCGCAAGAGCACCCCGGCACCAGACGGCACAGGCGACCTTCCAAAGCGACCAGACTGCCAGCGCAGCAAGGGACGAAAGACCCACATCACGTCTGTGAACATCACGCGCCGGAGCGACCCAAGGGACATCGCAGCGGCCCTCATCCAGGAACGCCGCCCGGACGAGTTCAAGACGGACAGCCCCATGGAGGCGGCCAGGCGATGGGGGCGGAAGGCAGACCTACGCCCCGCGCGTCGGACAGGGCAGGACGACGGCACCACGGCGCATCGGCGCCCTCGCCAGACCCCAGGTCGCGGTTAGGCAGCTGGATTCCCACCGTGATTGGATTCACGCGCCTTTCACCGCGGCGCGCGGTGTTTGGGTCGCCAACGAGGGGCCGAAGGACGGCCCTATCCTGGCCTCGATGAATTTCCGCACCTCCCGCGACCTGGACGACGCCAACGCGGACATCTTGTGCTGGGCGGGGGGGGGGGGGATTCAGAGCTGCTCGTCGAACCTGTCTCGTGGGCGGCGACAGGCAGGTGCCCGTCGACCCGCCCGCGCAGGCGCACTGGCCCCAGTTGGCGCGAGGGGTCACCCTGGCCCCCCCCCCGCCAACGGAGGCGACCTGCATCGCTCCCAGCAGCGCCCGCATCATCGACTTCGCTGTCAGCCGCAACATGGACACATGCAGGACAGGTGCGCGCGACGAACTCTCCGCCCCCACCCGCGCGGCGGCGGCGCGCGAGCTGGGCGCGGGCGCCGCCCCCGCGACCATGGCCGCAACGCGCGCGGCCGAGACCTTCCCGGCAGACCCGGCCATCGGCCTTAGAAGCCCTCCGCCGAGCTGCGACGCGTCATGAGAGAGCGCCGGAATGGGTGACTTGCACTTGGCGCACGGGATGAACGCGATCCAATTGGCGAGCAACGCCTTCCACGCGAAGTTCTGCGTCTGGCACGGCCACTTCGAGGGCGGGCTTATCGAGCGCCACGGGCTGGCCAATGAAGGCGATTGGCACCGACGACGCGCAATTGGTTCCACCTCAGCGCCGCCGCCGTGGATTCGCACTGCCGCGGCAAGGCGACGAACCTAGGGGCGCCCGAGCCAAGAGATGCCCGACGGCAGCGCCTAGCAGATCGCCTGCGAGAGCGGCGTCTGCGACAAGCTGCCGCGGCTCAGCAAGCAGGAGAAGAGCGCGCTCGACGCCTTCGGGGCACCCACCTCCGCACAACCCGCTTCGCCCCACCCTTCGCCGACAAGACGAGGCCCGAGACGCGGGCTGCGCGGTGCGAGTTGGCTCGGAAAGTTCGGCGGCGTCAGTGAGGAGGACCTCGACCACCTCGACTGCGACCTCAGGAAGTGCGCGCAGTGGGCGCCCGACCAGGCGGCGCGCCGCAGTTGCCGCGGGCGGCTGGACTTGCCCCGCCACTCGACCCGCCAGGAAGGGGTGCGTCATGCCTTCCAGCGGCCGAGGCAGGAGGCGCCACGGTCGATCAAGCCCCCAGCCCCCAGCAACCAATGACGGCCAGGTGCAGGACATGATGGGCGAGGCCGCCACCGCCATGAGACCACGGCACAGCTCTTGGCGACAGGACCTTGGGTTGACGCCATCGAGCGGGCGGGCAGCGACGTCGACATGGATTCCGCCCAGATGCGGGCGGCCGAGACAGCGCGAAGGATGGCGCGCCATCTCTGGCATTACGGGGCTTGTTTGCGACATGGTCAACCCGCGCGACGTCGTGACCTTGGGCGACATGTCGATTGCCTGCCTAACTCGCCTGCGGCAGCCCACGATCGGCATGGGACACGCCCCTCAAAGCACGCGCCCGATGATAGAGGCGCCGCTGCCGAAGCCCACAGAAGGATGCCACGCGATTTGCATATTTCCAGGCACAGCGAGGCCTCTCACCAGATGGCCCACACATGTGCAAGGATACACACTGGCAGACGGTCGACGGCTCGACTACGAACACGCGCAGATGGGCAGGGCAAGATATGTGGGGCGCGCGGAGCATATGCAACTGCATGCGGGCGGACCGCGGTGACGGGGCTGCTCGGCTTGTCCAAAGCATGGAGCCATCAGATGGCACATCCTTGCCAGCGAAGCCCGCGACCGCAAGTTCAACGTGTTCGCCCTGCGCTCGCGCATCGGCCTTTGCAGCGGGCCCCGACTGCTTTCGTTCGAAGACGCAGCGCTGAGCGAGCGTGCCCCGCTGCGCGCGTTTGTGGCTGGTCGCTCGCTTGCAGGCTTCATGATGCGCATCCTCGCCATCCCAACAGACCCCGCGGCCAGCGTGAGACCGATCTCCCAGGGCAGCGTGGCGGGCGAAATCCAGATACAAACTACAGGCCACGGGGGCGCAACGGCGCCGGCAGTGGCGGCAGCATGCCGCATCGCGAGGGGCAGCCTCTGCAAGGACCACCTCGCGTGCGACGACGGCGAGGGGGGGTGGCGACCAATTGCCACAATGCGGCTGCAGGCCCGTTGGTGCTGGGGGAGAATATGGGGAACTCCGTGGCGGGGCGGCCGCGGGGGAACGTGATGAGCTCACGACGCGCGGCGCGTTGTGCCCTGCGTTTTCACGCGTGTCGTCGATCGTTCATTGTGGCTTTGGCGTGGGCCCCTGGCGTAGCTGCCGCCGCAGACCCTGCCGGCAACTACGCCTCGGGCCAAATTGCCGTTCTGGCCCAGGCCGTCCCGGACCTTTGGCCCGCGTGCAGCGGGATCGGTTGGTCTCCTGGCCGAGGCGCGGCTAGCCTCCGCATTATCCGCTGGAGTTGACCGCAGCGTGCTTCCGGACCAAACAAACGATACACGATTGGTTGGCGAGGCGAACCCGCTCAGACAGCCTTTACTTCGCCTCCCCGTCTCACCCGCCCATCGTCGCGCCCCGTCGCCAATTTTGCCCCCTCCGCCCAACGGAGGAGCGGGCAGCGCTGCGCCGGGCAAGTGGCAGATACTTATGGGCGAACGGTTTGTGGGACCAAGAGAGAAATTTTAATGATAGCTTTACTGATAGCCCCATGCTCGAGGCGCGCGGCCTTTAGGCGGGGACTGTAGGTCACTTGTGCAGGGGGAGTGTTTCGCACATAGGACCACAGGCGCGAGTGCCTTCAGCCCCCGTCCGTGCACGAGGGAACTCGCGCCAACGAGGGGTGGGCCTTGTGGATCCGTCGTCTGGTGCCCATTGTTTTCCCTTCAAGCAGTGTCGAAGCGACCCGGCTCGCTTATTGGCCCGCCGAAGAATTTTGTCAGAACCTTCTTGTGGTTTGTTCGAAATGTTTTTTGCACATGTTTGGCTCTAATACACCGGCATAATGTTCTAAGAATATTGATTATGTTTGGACGCATCGCTTGGTTCCAAGCAAATTTCGTAGCAGGCTTACAGGAATGCTGGGACTGTCGGGCCTTGCTCAATCCATTGAATTCCCAGAGCACTGGGTCGTCAGACCCCTTTGGGGGCCACCTTGAGGCAGAAGCATTCTGGCGACGGTTTTTTGCGGATCCGTGTTTACGCGCGAGTCCCGCGTCAAGAGGGTTGGGTGGTCCGTGATCCTGACCAGCGGTGGCTGCCTCAGCCTCACGGCCGCCTTCTGCGGGCCTCTCCCAGGCCTCATGCAAGATTCCGCAGTGGCCGAATTTGTTGGCCTGCTCGTGCACCTTTCGCACGTGTCGTTTGGCCCTTGCCTGTGCAGGTCAGATTGCGATTGGGTGGTCTCCTCCTTCAACAAAGGCAGGAGGGCCACAACCAACTGCACGTGCCCCTGTGCTGGCCTCCAGTTTCGGGCGTGGAAGCGGGTGGACGACGCGTGGGGGGGGTTGTTGTTGTTGATGTTGTTGTTGTTTTTGTTGTTGTTGCTGCTGTTGCTGTTGTTGCTGTTGTTGTTGCTGTTGTTGTTGTTGTTGCTGTTGCTGTTGCTGTTGTTGTTGGTGTTGGTGTTGGTGTTGTTGTTGTTGTTGTTGTTACTGTTGCTGTTGTTGTTGTTGGTGTTGGTGTTGGTGTTGTTGTTGGTGGTGTTGTTGTTGTTGTTGTTGTTGTTGTTGTTGTTGTCGACACGGTCGAACGCTATGCTTTCGCGCGGGGCGATGCGCGGTCTGATGGCGCCAGATTCCTGCACCTGGGGAACAAGTATGCCGACCAATTTGCGCCAGGTGGTGTCGCCATGCGCCCGAGCGACGAGCCCATTAACAATCGAATCTTGCAGTCAGCCAGCCTCGCCACTTATGTTTGTACGAACCTCGCTCGCACCGTCAGGGCGGTGGGCCCTCCGCACCTCCAACCCTCGAGTCCTGATGTGGCGCTCAAAGGTGGGAGGAGGAAGCCCCCGCGGTTCTCCGCGGACATTGAGGTCGAGCTCGAAATGCATGAGATGGTCAACTTCGAAGGCCAGGTCCGGTGCGCCCGCCGCCTGCGCGTGGCCAAGGATGCCACCCCTCGAGCAAGCGCGGTGCCAGAACGTGGACGGGCACAGTTTGTGCCTGGTAGGCCCTTTTGTCTGATGCGGGGTGCGTGGAGCACCCCCCCCAGACTACGCGCAAGGTCTTGCCGGTGCCCGCGCGGCTCGACGACCCAGACCCGTCTTTCCAAGTTTTGGCAGGGCTCGCATCCTCGGATGGGCCTGCGACTGGCCCCGCGGTCGGGCCCTTGGGCCCCTGTCCCGCTCGGTGCCCTTGCCCTGGATGCCGAATTCGGTGACCTTGAGGTCCTCCCCGGCTGGTAATCTATGCGAGCCGAGTCGCGCATCTTGCGCGGAGAGGCAACGTGCGCCGAGTCGCGCTGTGCGCGTGCGGAGGCACGCTTGTCGAGGATGTCGGCTGTCTGACTGCATTGCGGAGGCCGCCCCCAACGTGTTCTTTGAGATGAGTGTTTCTGTATCATATATGTATATACCCACACCAATACCCTTCTCTTTTCTTGTACCATGTTGTTTTTCTCCTCTTTTCTCTCCCTCCCCTCGCGAGTTGGCACGTGCAAAACTGCACGGCTGGCACGCGCGGCCGTTTGGAGTTCACGAGATTGCATTGGTGCAACCTGCTCGGGGCCCGGACTACAGCTGGGCAGTCTCGCCTCGGTGGGTATTTTTTGACAAACAGGAAGATATGTTCAGACAGAGTAGGCGTGGGAAGGCCGTGCGGGGAACAGTATGCCCGGCCGTGGTTTCCCCTGGGGTTGGCCAGGGCAAGCGCCGCCTTTGTCTCGCGGCTGCGGCCGGGGCGCCTACACCTACTGCGATTGAAATTCCGTCGACTGGGGAGTTTGAAACTCAACCGCAGTAGGTGTAGAACCCCAGTCATTCTTTCTGGGCACGTTTGCTTATGACCAGTCCCACACTGGGCCTGCGCAAAAAGCTTGAAGACCACGTCGTATCATCAGGTTACACGCGCAGTGGCCGAATCTGTTTGCCGATCGCTGTTGTTGGGGAGCCAGTCGGTTGCTGTTGCCCGACCCCCCACTTGCCATCGGCATCCAAAACACGACGCAAACATCAGCTGCCGGAGGTCCGCGCGGATTGTTGGAATCGGCGCTGGGCCCCCACCCCCTTTGCGCGCGGAGCGCGGCAGGGGCGGCGCCAGAGGCGCCGCCAGGGGATTCCACAGCAGATCCAAGAAATCCGCGCGGTCCTCGGAAAGCTGACGTTCATGCCATTGTTTGTTCTTCGATGCGATCCCCCCTTTTACAAGTATAGGGCGGCCGAAGCGGCGGCGGCGCGGCGCTGCGCCCCCGGGCGGCGTTCCGTCCCTGCCCTAATCTGAGTGACCGTAAGGGTCCTGCCCGCGGGCAGCGTTGCGGGAGCGTCTTCGGGCAATCGGGGGAACGCTTGGGTAAGCATTGGGCCCGCGGTCGGCGGTGCCTTGGATAT